GAAACAAAAAAACACCCCAATTACAAATCGATTTTAGAACCAAATTTTTTCTTGATCAACCAGGCCTAACCACCACATATCATTTTATTGTCCTCTATGCTAGAATTGTTATAGCAATAGAACAAAACAGATAACTTGTTTATATAACTTATCTAATCAAAAAAACTGATAAATGTTGAGTTTTGTTGTTATATGCTGTTAAGTTGGCTTTGACATATGGTGATCCTAGGAATGAGAGGCCTCTAAAAAACCCTATTAACAAGTGGGCGCAGAGAGCTGCTAATGCAAACCCAGAGCTGTGACTTCCTTGAGTCAATGTCATGTCATGACAGACCCCCTCAAAATATGACCTCAAATCCAAATTGATTTGCTCTTAGGCACATTTCTAGCAACCTATGGTATCCACAAACCTCTTTTCAAGTGCTTCATTTAAAATTTGATTTTCTTTCTGTCAGCCTTCTTTATTGTTCAACTTTTACATCCACACACAGAAAAACTGAAAATGTGGTGTGAATGATCCTGACTTTAGTATTTAATGTTAATAAAGTTTTAAGTCCGAAAATACCAGAATATACATTAGCAAGGTGTAGTAGTTTGTGTTGGACTCTGAACTGTACTTAAGTTTGTCTAGGTTCCTCGTTCTCAAGAGCAGTTGAGAAAGATTCCTATGTGTACCGTATATTCCGGGGTACAAGACGACTTTCTAAGTCTGAAAAATCATCTCAAAAATGGGGAGTCGTCTTGTACCCCGGCATAAATTTTTTTGGATCATTTTTCCCTCGTGTCCCTCGCCCTTGGCATCCCCGCGTGGTGGAGCCTGAGGAGGGAGGGCGGAGGGAGGGAGGGAGGGGGCGAGGAGGAGGAGCGGCAGGCTTCGCTACCAAGCTGGCAGCATGGTAGCCTACTGGGCTGTCTTCACCTTCGCAGGCATTGAGCTGGGTCCGCCTCCGCCCTCCATCTCAGTGTAGCTGCTGCAGGAGGGAGCCAAAGCCAGAGGGGAGGGGCCTCTCGCTGCTCCGCCCCGCCCCCGCAGATGGCCCCGCCCCCCGGTTCCGCCCCCCGCTCCGTCTTCAACTCCTGCTGCTTTACCAGGCCGGCGAGGGTGTTTGCATGCAAAGCTAGCAGCAGACCAGTGGCGGAGGGGACAGCACAGCATGCAAACACCCTCGCCGGCCTGGTAAAGCAGCAGGAGTTGAAGACGGAGCGGGGGGGGCGGAACCGGGGGGCGGGGCCATCTGCGGGGGCGGGGCGGAGCAGCGAGAGGCCCCGCCCCTCTGGCTTTGGCTCCCTCCTGCAGCAGCTACACTGAGATGGAGGGCGGAGGCGGACCCAACTCAATGCCTGCGAAGGTGAAGACAGCCCAGTAGGCTACCATGCTGCCAGCTTGGTAGCGAAGCCTGCCGCTCCTCCTCCTCGCCCCCTCCCTCCCTCCCTCCGCCCTCCCTCCTCAGGCTCCACCACGCGGGGATGCCAAGGGCGAGGGACACGAGGGAAAAATGATCCAAAAAAATTTATGCCGGGGTACAAGACGACTCCCCATTTTTGAGATGATTTTTCAGGCTTAGAAAGTCGTCTTGTACCCCGGAATATACGGTAGATTACCTTTGTCTGTTTTACCCTGTGGCATTTAGTGCCATTTAGTATCTTATAATCTTATGATAGAATCATTTCATATTTGAAAGACTGTCATACCCCTTTTCCATTTAAATTGGGGGGGGGGGGGAGAGAGAGAGAGAGAGAGAGCATTAACAAACACATTGAAAGATACAGCCTACAGATGAACCAGAATTTTATTCTGGATTTCTGAAACCAGATTGGCTTTTTGTCCCAGTAGCTTGTTATATGTTTCTCAGCAGATAAAGATGCCACTGGAGGAACAAGAAGGTGGGAGGGAAGAAAATTCAGGCAATGATTCTTGGAATTGGAGGTTTTTATAACATCCAGTTGGAATACAGGCTGTTTGGTGAAGCAAGGAGGCCAAGTTGCAGCAGGAACTGATTGGAGGATCCTTTCAACCAAGACAGTAAAGTTCCACTGTTCCTCTTCTCTTGCTGCATGCAATATCTATTGGGAGCTGACAATAAGATCCAAATGGTATTCACCATGGCCTTCCTTTGCTCACCAGTGGGAATCTTAGAAGCATTCTGATGGCTATATTGGACTTTGTAGTTAATTCTTGTCTCTTTCTTTTGCAGGCCCAAAATGTTCAGCTCAGCAAGGACATGACTCTTGCCAGCAACCGTAGCCTCGCAGAAGGCAATCTCTTATACCAGCCAAAGCTGGATGCTCTAAAGTCTACATTGACACAAAAATACCAGAATCTCCAAGTTCTCTTTGAAGCATATCAGATAAAGAAAACCAAGCTAGGTAATATTTCTCTGGTGGCAACAAAGTCTTCTCTTTCTTTTCCTGTATGTGGGAGAGTGGATATGTCACCTAGTTGTCTTTGCCACATGTTTGACCTTGCATGCTTCAGAAATCTTTTGTCTGTTTCTGCTGAACATTTTGTATCACTGCATTCTGTCCTTCCCAATGCTGAGACAAAGTTTGTAACATAATTTAACATCATTTTTTTCCTACAAACTGAACAAAATGTACTCTGGCCTTGATTTAAACCTAAAGTACTGAAATAGTCATCTATGGACAGGCATTGTAGATCATGAATATGTTAGAGGCAACATATTCATGATCTACAATGCCTGTCCATAGATGACTATTTCAGTACTTTAGGTTTAAATCAAGGCCATGGTACATTTTGTTCAGTTTGTAGGGAAAATGATGTTACAAACTTTGTCTCAGTATTGGGAAGGACAGAATGCAATGATACAAAATGTTGACTAGAAATAGACAGATTTAGTGTACCATTTTATCTAAGTGTCTCAGTGTGGCTAGAGGAAAATCAGCTGAAATAACTAACTTCTTTAGTGTTTTGTTCTTTTATCAAAGCTGCAGTGGACCTCTGGATTAAAGACAGAAGGCTAAATTCAGCATTTTCTTATCTGCTAAAGCAGTCAGAATATTGTCTCAGATATTAGATTTATTTCTAGCAAAGAAACCTTCTGACAAGAAATTTTAGAGAAACGGGCAATTTATACGAAATGGGTAGAAGGTGGTGAAGCCAGCATAGATATTGTACAACGATTTAAAAGGTTGTGTTTGTGGTTAAAAATAAAGATATAGATATATAGAGAAAACTGGTGGGAGGGGTAGGGAAGGGTGGTGGGAGGAGGTGGGAGAAAAAATAAAAAAAATGTAATATGAACGAATCTGTAAGGAATGTGAATAGATAATATAAAAATATTTTATCATAATGTAAGCCTACAATAGACATTTATTATCTGTTCAAATATGTTATTTTGTTTTAAATTTAAAATTAAAAAAACAACAACAAAGAAACCTTCTGACATATGTTTGCTTTGAAGTCATGATAGTGGTTAAGGTGAAGTGGGAATCTGCATTGCCCTCACTTAAGGAAAATATCTCAACCCTTCCATTTCCCACAGTATTGTTTTATCTGATTTCTTCCTTCCATTCATTTTAATCTCTACTTTTAAGAAAAAGAAAATACCGCAAATGCTTGCCTTATCAGTTTTAGGCAGGTCTAGTGTAAGCTAAACACTGAAGTCGGTATAACTGAATTGCACTTCTGTTGGTGTATTTTATTCTTGATTTATTATTTTTTAAAACTCAGACATCTGGACTTTTGATATTTAATATCTCTGCTTTGATCAATAGTTTTTGCTTCTTTTGTTCCATTTACAGACAGACAATCCAGTAATGCTTCCTTGGAAACGCTTCTAGCACTTCTTCAGGCAGAAGGGGCTAAGATTGAAGAAGATACTGAGGTCAGTAGATGAATCTTAGAGAAATGAATTGCCTACATTGATCTGCCTTTGGCCTCACAGGGCTTACCTTTTGGGTGTTTATTACAATCTTTCTGAACTTTGTCCTGCTAAAAGATGACTAAAAATGAATAAAACGTTAAATAAAATGAAAATTAAATAAAAATGCTAAACTGACTCACAGGCTCAGGGTGGAAATGGAGAAGTTTCCTTGGATGTTGCATTAATGATTTTAGGTTGCCTTGCTATGTCTCTTGTATTGTGCAAGGTTGTGCATGTGCATATAAAATAACTACATAAGTCATCTTGAATGCCTTGTACTTTCAGAAATGTTTATTTTTGTTCTTAAAAGTATGCCAGTACTCGTGCATGTATAAATAAGTTATTATACGCATTTACATAATGTCTGGTGAAGATTCAGATTGGAGAGAGGTGGTGGAAGGAATGAGTTGGCACTCACTGCTTTGTCCCATTCAGTTTCAAGCCTTTCCTAAGGCTAGATAGTCTGGAGTAAAGAAGAACTGCATAGATCAGGGGTCCTCAAACTAAGGCCTGGGGGCCAAATACAGCCCACCAAGGTCATTTACCAGGCCCTCGCTCAGGGTCAACCTAAATCTGAAATAACTTGAAAACACACAACAACAACAACAACAACAGTGCTATCTCATCAGCCAAAAGCAGGCCTACTAATAAGCTTATATTTGTTAAAAGTATTATTCATTTTAATTATTGTATTGTTTTTAAGTGTTCTTTGCACTACGACTAAGATATGTGCAGTGTGCATAGGAATTCATTCATGTTTTTTTCAAATTATAATCCGGCCCTCCAACAGTTTGAGGGACTATGACCTGGCCCTCTGTTTAAAAAGTTTGAGGACCCCTGGCATAGATGATCCCTAGCTTGTTGTTTGTCCTCTTTGTTGAAGCAATTGATGTAAAGCCTCTCTTTGCCATGATCACTTCTTTAAAAGCCTTGGCTTTCTGTTTAGTGTGAATTTGGGAGCTGCCTGAGGAGTTCCCTGATAGGACTTCCCTAGTTAGCATAGTGGCTATGAATACTTTGGCTGCCAATTTGGAAAATTATGTCATGGCATATTTCTTTCACTAATAGACAGGGAAACACCAATCTGACCCTGTCAACTAGAAGCATTGGAAAGTAATTCGTAGCATGTAGACATGATAAAAAGAGCAGCTGGCAGATCTTGTTTCAGAGAAAGCAAACATGAGGAGAGAAAGCCCACAGGTTGGAAGATTGATATACATTGCATGTAATAGTTGTTAGGTTCAATCCTTTGCATCTTTTAGATAGAAGAGATGAGATCCATACCTGCCAGAAATATTGGAACACAGGGACCATTTATTGTGGGTCCTACAGAACTGTATCCTGGTTCCCAGCTATTTTTTCTTCTTTGAGGAATAAGAAACAAAGGGGATAAATAGATCCCAATGTTAGAATAAGGTTTGTACTTCCAGAACATGTCCCTTCCTAATGCTTCCTTCATTCTTTGCAACAGAACATGGCTGAGAAGTTTTTGGATGGTGAAGTGCCCTTGGACGCCTTTATTGATGAATATCAAAACCAAAGAAAGCTGGCTCACTTACGGCGAGTCAAAATTGAGAAACTCCAAGAGATGGTGCTGAAGGGTCCCAAATTCCCTCTGGTGCCTCAGCCAAGAGCGGCAGAGATGTCCCCAGGACTTCAGGCTTCAGAAGCGAATGCCCCTCCTTCGGTGGTGCCTCGTCGCAATCCTCCTCCACCTCCTGCAGCATCTGCAGCCCCAGCAGGACGCCTTCCGACCCCATTTACAGCTGCAATGAACTCTGGGCAAGCTGCTCCCTTTTCAGGGATCCCGTACCCTCCACTTCCCCCACGAACAGGAATGCCACCTGCAACGCAAATGCCACAGCCGGGATACCCAACTCCATTTGCACACCAGTACCCACCAGCACTACCCCAAAGGCCCCCGCCTCGTCTCCCGCCGAATCCAGGTTTTATCCTACAGTGAAGATGAAGATGCCACTGTATCCTGACTCAGGTGTCTCGGTGCTGACCTTTTGACTCCTTAACTTTCAGAAGCAACTTAAATAGTGGCAAATCTCCAGTGCTATGTGCATAAGAGTTCAAGAAATTGAGACTGAGAACTGGCGTGTCAGTGTATCTTGCAAAAGTCACTGGGTTTTTTTCTCTTCCATTTACTTACAATTTTTGTTTAAATCAGTAGTGGGACAATTGAATTGTGGAAATTCTGAAATTCTTCCATCTTAAGAGGAGATTTCAGCCAGTGTGGAAGGTCTGCCATTCCACAGGGATCTGCTTCCTTTTCCTACTTGGGAAATGGTGAAATTGTTCTGCAGAAGGATCCAAGTTCTGTAGTTTGAGTGGTAATTGATCCATCTGCATTCCGCTTACATCAAAATGGGCCAGTCAACACTAGTGCTGACTTGGGTGCTTGTGATATGCAGACAATGTTTAATTTTGTAATTCATAGTTTATAGGACCCGATACGGGAGTCAATTTCTTTCTATACTAATGCAATCACATTCATTTCACTCAGTTGCTGCCAGTGAATCGCCTTGTAAAGTATGTCCTTCAGAAAGCCTCAGGATTTAAATACCTCTTGTTTGGTCTTCTTCAGATTCTCTCACCGCAGCATGAATCTTTCCTAACATTCTTGGCTTGCAGTGACTTTGTGTGTCACAGCAAAGCAAAATCTGTCAGATGCAAGTTGGTGTTTTCTGGCTTAGCCTGTGGTTTCTTTCTAAATTAGCTAGTTAGTTCCTTAGTATATATATTTCCTTTACTTTTTGACTTTAAGCAAAAGTTCCATTTCCCAACTCAAATTGGCTTTGTGGAAATCCACTTCCAAGCCTTTTCCCTTCTGAGATTGAACACATGTTTTCTTCACAGGGCATTTGCTCTTCTCCATATGAGGAACGTCTGGCCCTTCAAATGGTGCTGGACTGCAAGTTCCATCATTCATAACCATTGACAGAACTGACAAATAGGAACTGAACCATGTTGAACAGCAGTCACAAGACCATACATCTTATACCTCTGTTTTGTAAAGTCCGTAATAATATCCTTTTTCAATCTGATAGTGTTTCTCTTCTCCTTCCAGGGGTAATCTCTTGCTATTAGATGGTTTGAGATAGAATGCTAAACAGCTACTAAATTAAAATGTCATTGCCTTCTAAGAGTCTCATCTAGTAAAGGGATGATTGCTTTTAGAGAATCAGAAATGTCTTGTATTTCAGAACAATAGAAGTTGGGTGGAGGCAGCTAATTTGGTGACAAACAGTCATTTTAAAGCCGAAAGATTTAAGGGGAAACAATCCATGTCCCAAGCTGAGAGAACCCTCTTCATACTTTAAACATAAGCTGTTGCTTACTAAGAACAGAGGGGCGGGGCATAAGTAACCCATTGCAGTGAGAAAGGGATAGGGATAAATTCATTATCATAACAGTTTAGTGTATTAATTACTCTTAAGTTCGAGAGGGCAATATTGGCAGTAGTCCCATGGTATCCATTATTATTTGTGTTTAAGACAGCCATCACCACACCTAGACATCTTATTGTGACCAAAACTGAATTTGTTTAATGTGTTAAAATGCACCATCTTCTTTCTCGAATAGACTGTAGGACAATTGCCTTGAACACTGTCTCTCTTTAATTTGGGCCTCTCATCTAACTACTTTTGGCAGTGTTGCGTTTAAGTAGATTAAGATACGGTGTTTGGACAGTGTTGGGTTTAAATGGATTAGGATGCTGCCTTCAGGAAATGTTACATTGAGATGATTGTCTTTTGGACGTTCGCCATGCGTGCCCTTCCAAAAGAAAAGGCAAGGTATTTCGCAAAGATGATCAGGTCATTGGCTTTTGAGACCACTTTCCTGATGTGTGGCAGGCAAGTCAATATCTCAGTTATTTAAGGTGGATTTCTTAAATGTAACAGGCAAAGGGATTACAATACTTCTTACATTTGAAGATAAAATGTAAGCAACAGGCAGCCTCCTTCAACTCATGTAGCTACTCTTTTCATGAAGAGGAGGAGAAATGGGCAAAAGTTCTAGAGAAACGTTTTGATCAGGTTTTAACAGGTGCATTTTTACAGCACAAATATAAAAGTGTGATGCTGTTAGAACAGTGCATTGGTTATCAGCTTGCGTTGTTGTTTCTTTTCCTGAATAGCTTTAGGCTTTTAGTGCATTGTGTCATTTAACTTCTATTTAAACAACAGTTGGTGGTTGGTAATCAAGATATTTATATCTGCTCTCCAGTTTCCTTTTATGCTCTGCTTTTTACTTCACTGCTTCCGCCTTCTTGTAACGATAGCTCTTTTTGTGATGACAGAAGCTAAGCTTTTGCCAACTTGTGACTCAGTTCAGCCATGAAGAGCCTACACGGTATTTAATCTCTGCCTTTTGATAAATTGAGAAGATTACTTCAGAGCAAAAGGCGAGCCACTTTGTCTGGAGGCCTTTTTCTTCAAGCCATAATCTTATACTGAATTATGAAGAGTTTAAATGTGGACATTTCTCTGTGACTAATCAGGTTCAATGTGCATTGATGCCTATCTGTGAGCTGCCATGTTCTTGGAGGCCTATCACATTTTTTCCAGGGAGCAAGAGATCTCATTCATATCCAGGACTCTGAGGTTCGTTTTGCCAAGACGTTTCGGATTGGTTGAAAACCTTGCTTTATTCAGGGAAAACTCCTTTTATATATTTGGAATTGTGCTATCTTTGGTCAAATCAAAGATATTTCAGTGCTTAGCGGATTAGCAGATTATTACCTTTTCTTTTAAAAATGACTTGGAGTGTGCCAGTATTTGCTCAGTAGTATATATGCATTCCATTCTGACATGATTCAGACTTGGCCTTCGGATTTTCTGAGCTTCTGATTGTTTGTCAGTCATGAACATGCTTAGCTCATGAAGCAGCTTTTGAGAATGTAATTCCTCCAGCAGACTGTGAGCTCCTGTTCCTAATGGTTCTTGAAATGATGCTGCTTCCATGACTCCTCAAAAACACGGAGAGGACCTCTGTGAATCACTCCTGTCTAAAAATGTGGGAGGGGCAGAGTGACTTGCCCACAAAGCGAGCCATAGAATGAAGCTTCAGGAGGGGCCTTGTGCTCAACCTTGTGTGTGTTGTTGGTGCGGATGAGTGCTAGAAGTTCAGTCACGGGGGAGGCCTGAAGCCACAGGTGTTACTCATCCAGCATGAGAAGGTGTCGTCAAAACCCTGAAGGCAAACATGGTGCTAAGCATATCCATCTCCTTCTCTTAACTCCTCATTCAAAGCTCTTTTTCCATCCTTACGTGGCAGGCAACCTTCCTTGGTGCTATCACTTGCCAGCCACCTCCCAAATTAGAAGCAACAGACACAGAGCCCTGTCTTGGAGTCAGTCACAACCTCACAAAATTCCCCTATAGCTACTCACGTTTATGATGTAGCATTAGCCTTAGTCTGCAATTTCAGGTTAGCTGCCCACTTATACTACAAGAGCATAAGAGGCACATAAACCCATCTGTGGATTTCACAATGCAAGTTGTGACTTTCTGTAGTACGAAGATTGCCTCTTTCCCTGACAACAACTCACGCTATTTTCAGATGGGACATTTCTGAACTGCTCAGGGATGCAGCGTGCAGAAGACAATGACATTGCAACCAGCTGAACTGATGCCATTTTTTCTTCCCAGAAGCAATATGTCACGGTAGAGCAGGAGCTGATGTGTGCCTTAGGATGATAGGTTGTGACTTATTGGAAAAGAAAGAGAACTGTGTGACTTCAGCTTAGCAGTTACTCAACTGCTGAGGACTCCTCATTGCTGGAAGATGTGGAGCTAAATATGAGTCAGTATGTATTGTGTAAAAGTGAGGAATACAGATCTCTGGTAGGCAACTGTTCTTGGATGACTGTTCAGAAAAAGATGGAGCAGCGCTAGTCCAGCCTGTTTTCATGTGAAATGTAATTGGGTTCCAACTTCTGGAATAGGGACATTTTATGTTGTGCAAGAAATACTTAAAAGTGTTTAAATTTTGGAGGCAGGATCTTCACAGTGGATGTTAGTTGGGATGCCAAAACCACATACAGCATATCAGTAGGTATGAGCCCAGGAAGCACAGTGGCAGAATGGATGTCTTCCACAGTTGATGGAGGAGGGTTGAATTTCAGTGGAGCGGCTTGGTCAGCCCCTGTGAGCCCCTGGCCTCTTTTGAGTTGCATTGAAGCACTGTTTGATATTCCTGGTTGTTCTTTCTGGTGGAAGAGGGAGAGGAGCAGTAGAAGTCTGTGGCAGACAGGTGAATGTGAATTGCTAACCTACGGTCATGTCATCATCCTGCTTATATCCCAGTATTGTCTGGTTTCCTTCTGCTAACGATGCAAAATACAAGAATTTGCATCTGGGCCCACCGACTTGAGTGAGCAATACAGAAAGGGGTGGTGGTATTTTGAGTGTTTCCTGGTCTATGGGGACTGGCCATTGAGTAGAAAAGGTTGGGAGTAACTCCCATCCAGGTTAGAAGCAGTGTGCTTATAATATTTTTAGAAAACACTCCTGCAGTATGATTTTACAAATTAAAAACTACTACCTGAATGCTACAGTTTGTTCTGTGAACTAATGTTAAACATTAAATTAAATTTAAATGGTGTTAGATGGAGTGAAGCCGTTTTAGTGTTCAGTGTGGGGTGTTTCTGTTTCTTAAACTGCAGAAAGGAGCTTTTGTCTTTAATTTGTTTCTACATTTGAAGAAATCCTTCTGTTCTGTCACTTGTTCTGTTCTCCCCCATTTTGAGTGCATGTGGCAGAAGGGACTTCTGCGTCTTTGGTACAAAGCCCAGGAATTACTACCCAAGAAAGGCATCAGTTGCAGGACACCAGAGTGTTAGGAGCAGTTGGAGGCAGACTATTTGTTTTGCTGTCACTGCTAACTTGAAAGCTTGCAATGGAAAACCTTCCAGCCTCCCAGTTATTACTGGCCAAGATTATTTGGTATGCCTTTTCTTCCTGTCTTTTGGTCCCAGGTGTGATAGAGTCTTATCCAGGTTGTATTTCTCCTCCTCTTAGTCAGATAATTGTTTTGGAAGAAGTGAGCAAACACAGTCTCATCCTCAGTTCTCTAAATAAAAGAAAACTTGTGAAACTTTATTTTCCTGTGATCTTCATGCAGCCACTTCCAGCGGAGGGATTGTATGACCCCTTCAGTTTTCTACGGGATCTCAATGTCCTGTGAGTTTGGTATATTTAAAAGGTTAAAACTCATTGGGGGAGTTGAAATTTTCAAAGTGAAAGTCAGTAGGTTTTGACATGACACAGTCTTCGGTTTTGCATCATATACCAAGGGAAACCCTCAGGTATTGTGTAATTGTCCATCATCTAGAAGCCAGCTGCCCTTCTGTTAGGAATTGTAGGGCCTCCCTGGGGTCCAGAGGGAATGCTGGTTAGCACAGCATTCGTCTTATTTCCTACCAGCAAACAAAGGACCTGATAAGGCACTAGTTTGCCTTCCCACTGAGCTACCATGCAGTGTGGTGTTCAGTCTCTATTGCTTCTGACAGTTTTATTGCTTTCTGTATAATGTTGAAGTACTTTTGAGTACTATTTTTGGTGGACAGCATATTGAGATGTAATAAATAATAGTTGTTGTAAGAGTGAGTCTGAAACAGTTAATGCAACCACTTGATAACAAATAAGCCTGCATCACTGCTCATTTTACAGGCCACATTTCACTCTGGTTATAATACTGTGGCTCCTTCTGATGATCCTTCTTAGCTACCCACCTGGGGCTTATGCTGCGGCCTAAGGTTCTTGGCCAGTCTCTTTTTGACCCACTCTAGAAAATGGCCCTTGTCCTGCAAAGCTGCTTTTCTAGTGAGCATTGGTTTTTAGGTATATCCCCTATAAAAAAGTAATGCTCCAAGGGAGGATGTCAGTACTTCTGATGGTCTGCTGCTGCTATCTTTCTAAAGGTGGGGCAGTGCACTGAAAAGCACAGCATCAAACTATGATTACTATTAAATCACCAGTTGAGGGCCCTTCCTGTGCATTGCTCAGCTACTTGCCAGACTTCTGCTGGTGGATTCAGGCTAGGAGTGGGGCACCCCAGAGAGGCAGAGACCTTGAATCCAGACCCAGTGGGCCCCATAGTTCCCGATGCAATGCCAAAAGATGTCAGGTTGCTTCAGGTTCCAAAAAGCTTTCCCAATACGGTGGTGTCTCACAATTTGTAAATAGTGAGGGGGGAAGGGAACCCAATCCATCCCACTTTTGTAGTGGGAACAGGGTTTGTGTTTGGAGGCCAACGTTTTGACTGGAATTTTAAAATTAGGGAGACTCTTGGGTCTTTGTGTGCCACAGAACATGCTGCTGGGGCCACACATTCATAACCTATACCAGTATTTCTCAAACTTTGCTCCTCCAGGTGTTTTGGCCTTCCAACTCCCAGAAATCCTAGCCAGCTTACGAGCTGAAGTCCAAAACATCTGTTGAAGATTTTGAGAAACTCTGAGCTATATTATATGCCCTGCTCCGATTTCAACTTTACTTGGGGCATGGTACATACTCAATGTATTTAGAACCCATGGGAAAATCACATAAATGGGTATCTCAGTCTGTCTCCTTCATACCGATCTCAGCTTCCTCTGCTTCTTGTTCTCTTAAAGCCCCTCTTAGTGATATCTTCTTGGTCTAACCTTTCTGCTTTCATTAGTTACCCTTTCTTAAATACATCTATGCTCAGGTGGTTTTTGACAAGTGGGTGTCCCAAAAACTGGTTGAATGACCAGGGCACTGTTTGTCCTCCTTGGAAGTATATTGAGTTTAGGTAAATCCAATTCCTAGGTAGCTCCTTTTGGAGCCTAGGTGGTTCCTTACCTTGAAAGGGTCATTCTAGATCCCTGAGGAGACATCCAGACCCATTCAGTTGTAACATTATTCTGGTGCACTGGTTAATCTGACTCCCTGTGATGTTTCTGCTTGTCCAGTTCGTTTGTTCAGTGAGCTTCTACTTTTTAAAAATCCCTCCCTGAGTGTGTCCTCCCGTCTTCTATGCTTGGCTATAGAAAGAATGGGAGATAACAGCTAGAGATTCAGCTTTGGGTCATGTCATTGCACTACTGCGCTTGGGTGGCAATGGGAGGCAACCCATTGCGGGAATTTGCCTTGGCGAACTTGAATGGATGTGTTAGCCTTTAATATAGGATTTGCAGAGGTGAGTGTTATCTCTTCTGTACATTTACAGCAGTGTTTCAACATGACATTCAAACACACTCACAGACTTCTCTGAAGTAAAGAAAGCCATCTTTCCTTAACAGGGTTTTGCTGGTAGCGAAATAGCCACTTTAAAAAATACAGCAATCTTAACTGTCTTTTCTAAAAACATAGAAGGGGTTTGTGGTAAAGCAGACTTTTGTAATGTACTTCCTTGACATTAATCATAGCCTATTTCTTGGTTTGTATGTACCAAGGGGGGAAAGGGGTAAATTTTTCAGCCTTAGAGGATGCCACTATAGTATGTCAGTGGGCCTATATTTGTTGGAACATGGAGTAGGTAATGTCAGATGGAGGGTATCCACATATTTCTCAGAACAACATTCTGCCTACAGAACAAACTATAGTTACAGTTCTAGCAAAATTCCTTTCACTTTGGGAAGCAGGACGATTCCTAATGTAACAAGGTTTGTAAATGCTTCCTTTGTGTTGTACAATGGTTGAGAATGTGCTTTTAAGAACAAGCTTCAGCACTCAAAGCGGTTCACTTTCCTTGATAAATTGGCTGTTTTTTTTTAATAAAATACTGACTTCAGTGATTATTCATTAAAAAAAATCCTAAATTTTGTACAAACATTTGTCACTGGTTTTTCAAGAATGGTCAAGGTTTGTGTCCCTGGGTTTCGAACAAGATGGGTAAGTTAAATTTGTATGTCAGTTGGAACAGGGCCATTTTTAATTGTAACTCCAGATATCTCTATCTATCCATCCAGACGTATGTACATACATACGTACGTACATACATACATACATACATACATACATACATACATAACTTTGGATAGCACGGTGAAGGTTTAACAACCCTGTGGAGTTTGTTTTGCTGTCTGTGCCCCTGTTCAGAAGACTTCATCTCAATTTCTGTCTCTATGAGAATTGGATTTTGAAAATTTTAGTTTGTTGTGGGAACAAGGATTGGAAACAAAGATTGGTGAGAAAGTGGAGACACTTTTCCCCCATGATACTAACTCTTTCAGGAGTGAATTTCCTTTCCTTGGGGTAGATTTCTCTCACTTCTTATTGTCTCACCCCGTTCTTAACTATGAATCGTTTGTAAGCTGAATATAATTCAGGGACAGCCTGTATTTAGATTTGTTTGAACTTCTATGCTGTGTATATTGCTGCTAAAAGAACAAAGCAGAAAAGAAGGGGATTCCTGCGGGTGAACGTCAAGCAAGGATGGATGCTCAGAAAGAAGCCTATTGGTGTTGTCTCAAATACGGCACAGCACTTCCAAACCCCACACACCACTTGATGTTTTTATTGCTTATGTACAAGAATATCAGAAACCACTTTTTTGCTGTTCAAAAAGGTAACAAACAGAGCAAGACAGACACTCAGCAGTTTGACATTTTCCTGTAGTGGTAGTCTGAACGGCAGAACACAAACGGGAGGCCAGGCTGCGGGCTTGGCAGCGTTGAGTCTCATTCGTTGCAGGCACGATTGGAGCACCAACGGGGACGGCTGCGGTTCCTTTGCAGGAGCAGTCTCCTCTACAGACTCAACAGGAATGAAAGACGTTCTCCGCCAGAGAACTTCACATGATCCAGAAAGAAGAAAAGTCCAGCTACTTGGTAAGGGCATTTAATGCAACTCTGGATTGCTCTGTTGGGCTCCTTTCCGTTGCTTCCAACTCCTGTATCTGTTCTGCTCAGAAGCAAATCACCTAAAATTGCTACATAGATTGAACTATCAACTACAAGTAGTGAACAAAACAAACACTGAACAATGTTTCAGGTAACTAACTTTAATAATAAGCTAAATTCTTTCCTTAAAATGTCATGGTTTGGTTGGTAAGTTCCTATTATTATCCATGGCCTAGATCCAACTGCTGCTTCCCGGCTAGAGTAGACCCACTGAGTCAATGGTGTTGCCACGAGCGTTCCCAGATTCCCATTAATTCAATGGTTCTACACTAATAAGTTAAAAGCTCTGCTTCGCACACTTCCCCAAATTAAATATACGGTGCTTCAGCTATTTCAGCATTAAACCTGACATGAGCGACGTGGCTGCCTTTAAGTTTTGCTCCTAAATTAGGATTTGAAGGCTTTAAAAAACAGTAGCATTTTATCCTATGTATGAATCCTGTTCCCTTTTAATACACAAGATCGACAATCTAAACTCTGACCCTTCTGAACGTTTTTCTCCTCATCTGCACCACATACAATACAAAGAGCAATCCAAAGAGCCTACTTCAAAACAAATTTCACATTTCCTTAAAAAGATCTCCATCGTACAGTAATTGATGCACCAAATTTACTCCCTCAACAACCACAACATTCCCAAAGATTCCTATTGCTTATAAATAACCAAGAAAAGTTTGTTTCTCAATCCATTTCATTTCCTTTCGGATTCTCCTTGGAGGTAACTGGCTGCCTACCGTTGCTTTACGAAAGCAAATCTGTCCTAAAAAAATCTAGAGAGCAGGCAAAGGTGAAGAACTTAAAGCTGCCATGTTTTCCCAACTAGGGTAGTGAGGGCGGGGATTTCGGGATAAAAAGGCAATGCCAGACACAAGGCAACTCGGGGATTTGTCCTGTCAGCTTCTGTTTAAAACACAGACACTTAGTAGTTATCGGAATGTCTAGACTCAGGAGGCTTCCTGACAGCCCCTACCCCCCGAAAGGCAAAGAGGTGCCTCCAAAAGCTTAGCCCTCCACCAGAAATCTAGGTTGTAGGGTACCAGCAGAAACAGCAGGTGAGACTGTCTGAGCCTCCTAGAGCAACAGGAAACCTCAGGCAGCCGCAGACTCCCCCAGCGCCAACCTCCGCTGCCCCTGCTCTCTTCCTTCAGTGGTTGGTCAATGGCAAGCCACCCCTCAGAAGTTGACCACATGGGCCTGGAACACACCATCCTCCTGCACCAGCTGTAAAAGAGACGGGACGGGGGGGATGTCAAATTAATATCAATTTACTATTCAGCTCCATAGGACAACGGTCTTCAAGGGGGGAAAAAGTGTTTTTGTAAATGGGATCTGTGCCTGATATGCAATAGAATTGCCAGGAAGATGTAGGAAAATTCCTAGAAGATATATTTTGTTGGATGGATACGTGACACTGGGTACTGGGGCCATACTGCAATGTGCTGAATAAAACAGTTGTTCTGTTAACCAGAAATTCACTTTTACATTACACAGCCCAACAACATCAACAAAAATGTCTTGGTGTCTTGATTTTGAGGTCCGTTTCTGGGGTTCTTTGGGATACCGATTCAGAAAATGGCATGGGATAGACCAGGCAGGGGCAAACTTGGGCCCTCCCTCCATCTGCTTGCCCATGGAAAACCATGATAACCGTATCTAAGAAACTAGAGCTGGTATGGTCTAGCCCAAGAATGGGCAAACTTGAGCCCTCCCCTTCAGGTGTTCTGGACTTCAACTCCTACAATTACTGTCTCAGACCCCTCCTTTTTCCTTTTCCCCTTTTCCGCTTAAGCAGCTTAAAAGCTCTGGCATAGACACCAAGAACTGGGAAGCCCTGGCCTTTGATCGCTCTAGCTGGAAGTCAGCTGTGACCAGCAGTGCTGTAGAACTTGAAGAGGCACGAATGGGGGGAGAAAGAGAAATGTGCCAAGGGGAAGGCATGTCAAGGCAACCCCAACTGAGACCGCCTTCCACCTGGAAACCGATGCCCTTGCTGCTGGAGAACATGCAGGTAAAGAATAGGGCTCCACAGTCACCTACGTACCCACCACCAGGACACCGCACTTGGGAGGACAATCTTACTTGGACAACGAGGGATCGTCTAAACCAAAAAAAACTGAGGAGGATGCCAGGCAAAGTCCATAGTTCTGGCTGTCCAGAGTAATCCTGTCTACTTTGACGAAGGGGGAAAAATCTGGATGTGACGTCCACAGCAAGTCCTTCCAGCACAAATGCAGCAAGGTGGTGAAGGATACCATATTCTTAAGAGTGATGTATAACTGAAATATCATTGTCAGCCCCTCATTTTTAAGGTCTGCAGAACTATGCAGTCCCCCCTTGAGATGACTGGTGGGGAGCATACCTCAGGGTCCGGCTTGAGGGCATGGGTTGGCTTCTGAGCCACAGGAGGCTTCTTCAGGCCTGGCTTGCGGGCAGCGCTTGGTTTTCCTCCCTCGGCATTCTCATTGTAGATGCCAGCCAAGGCATAGTGCTGCCTTCTCAACTCGCCAAGGCGAAGGCGCTCGTTCTCCAGTGTCTTTTCCAACTCCAAGACTTTCACCTGCATTGGAAAAAAAATCTGTCAGTGGTGTTTCTCAAAGCTATGCAGTGTTAGGTTTTGGTTTTCTCTTGCAGTACTTAAAACACTTCCACTACCACCATCATCTATCCCGCCATACCTTTAATAAAATCAAATTATTCCCATCCAGTTACCCCCTTTCTCCTTCTTTGCACCCTGTTCTTCCTAAAGAGCCATGCACATTGAGGATGCTATGTGAGTAAAGTAATAGATTACATGAATAGGTTCTTAATTTTGCATCAGGAGTACACACACTGCAGTTATGTGGCTACATGCACAACACTTAGGCATCCAGGTTTCCATTTTTTTCTGGCTAAAATAGGGTGAACTATCTCTCTTGGAAGTTTCCAGAAGCAGGTTGCAAGTGACCTGCTCCACTGAATGTCAGAAACATCTACTTTTCGGAGGTAGAGTTGAAGCTGCTTCTGGTTTGAGGTGGGAAGAATGTTCATACAATGTATTGTCGAAGGCTTTCATGGCCAGAATCACTAAGCAGTTGTGTGTTTGCCGGGCTGTATGGCCATGTTCCAGAAGCATTCTCTCCTGACGTTTCACCTGCATCTATGGCAGGCACCCTTAGAGGTTGTGAGCTGTCACAACCTCTAAGGATGCCTGCCATAGATGCAGGCGAAATTTCAGGAGGGAATGCTTCTGGAACATGGCCATACAGCCCAGCAAACACACAACATATTGTTGAAGGCTTTCGTGGCCGGAATCCCTGGGTTGTTGTAGGTTTTTCGGGCTGTATGGCCATGTTCTAGAAGCATTCTTTCCTGACGTTTCACCTGCATCTGCAGCAAGCATCCTCACAACCTCTGAGAATGCCTGCCACAGATGCAGGCAAAACATCAGGAGAAAATGCTTCTAGAACATGGCCATACAACCCAAAAAACCTATCACAATCTAAACACACAATAACCCAGTGTTCATACAACCCTTAGGCTGACTATATTTGCCCACCCCTGATCTATCTGGCCCATCTCTTGCTTTTCTATATCCCTGAAAACAACTGCTGAGCATGTTGTCCATCACAGAGCGGCGTTGCCTGATTCCTGTTCCAACAACCAGTAAAAGGTGGTGGGAATTCTACCACAGCAATACTGACCTATCCCCATATGTTTACTTTGATAAGTGGCAATATTTTGATCTGACATAAGGTGTGCCAACCATGTGACTGATTCCTACTTAATAGATTGTACTGGCTAGGGATAATGAGAGTTGTTCTCTCATCTTCAGGTTGGGGAAGGTTGGTATCTTCTCGCCCAGTGTTCTTTGACAAAGGGCCGCCCTTACCTGTGTCTCCATTTCTTCCTTTTTGAGCTTGATCAAGGACATCCCCGAGAAATCCATAGTGTCTGATTGAAAGAAGGAAAGGTGGACTTCACATATACTCTTATAATTCCATTTTTACCTCATTTTTACCTTTATCAGTCCGACCACCTCCTTCTGTCCTTCAGGAGACAACTGAAGACCTGGCTGTGGGACCAGGCGTTCAACTAGAGCAGCTTTTCTCAACCTGGGGGTCGGGATCCTTGGAGGCGTCGCAAGGGGGTGTCAGAGGGGTCGCCAAAGACTGTTAGTCATGAGGGTTCTGTGTGGGAAGTTTGGCCCAATTCTAATCTTGGTGGGGTTCAGAATGCTCTTTGATTGTAGGTGAACTATAAATCCCAGTAACTACAACTCCCAATGTCAAGGTCTATTTTCTCCAAACTCCAGCAAATTTGGTCCAGATCCATTATTGTTTGAGTCTACAGTGCTCTCGGGATGTAGGTGAACTACAACTCTAAAACTCAAGGTCAATGCCCATCAAACCCTTCCAGTATTTTCTGTTGGTCATGGGAATTCTGTGTGCCAAATTTGTTTCAATTCCATCATTAGTGGAGTTCGGAATGCTCTTTGATTGTAGGTGAACTATAAATCCCAGCAACTACAACTCCCAAATGACAAAATCAATCCCCCACCCAACGCCACCAGTGTTCAAATTTGGGTGTATCAGGTATTTATGCCAAATTTGGTCCAGTGAATGAAAATACATCCTGCATATCAGATATTTACATTATGCTTCAAAACAGTAGCAAAATTACAGTTGTGAAGTTGTCATGAAAATAATTTGATGGTTGGGGGTCACCACAATATGAGGAACTGTGTTAAGAGGTCACGGCATTAGGAAGGTTGAGAACCACTGAACTAGAGGCACTGACCAGAGGACAATGGCAGCTTGGAAAGGAAACTTGAACATTATGACATTACAACATTGGATTTGTTTGGCTGGACCTTGGTTTTAGCAGCGTGTTAGTTGAATGTTAAATTAATTTTTGATGATTTTTATAATGTTTTAAT